CTGAAAGTGGTCATTTTTGAAAAGTAGTTTCATTAGGATGGAAAGTCAAACAAACAAAAACCGCAACAGCCCACCAACCAAACAAACCCAGACCTGTTGCTACAGGCAGAGGACAATTGAGTTCACTGGGTTCTTATCTGCTATTTTTCTAGCAGCCAATCAATCACCCAGCCTTTCTTCCACAGAACTACTGGGATTGTTTGAAACACTTAGCTGTTTGAGTCATCTAGGGATCTTTCAAGTAGAAAGCACAGGGAATGATATCAGAGCTGAATTTGTGAAATCCTGGCTTACAGAAGGATATGGGTGGCAGTGGACACCCAAAATACATTCACAGGCTCTCACATCGAATAAGCCTCAGGTGAATCCTCTCCTGACCATAACTGAGGGATGGGAATAATCTGGTTATTATTATATAATATTATTATATTATATATATTATATTATATATTATATATATTATTATATAATCACACAGGGAGTGCTTGACAGGTGGTTATGGTAGATTAAAATGGTAAATCTGATTTGAATGGTTTAAAATCTGGCCTTTTGATACACTTTGAGCTTGGACTAATTTTAAACATTTTCTAGTTTTTTATTTGTTTGTTTTTCAATTTGGGGCTTCTCTCTGTTGCATTTTGTTATTGTTGGGAGCATTCTTGACTCTCTTTATGTATCTTGCTTTGTTCTTCAGTATATGAGATCCTGGTTGGGTGACAGAGACGATAACTAGGATAAGGGTTCTTGGGGTTGCAGGTGCAGAGGGGGTGGGAATGGAGAGCTGATGTCAAGGAGCACAAGAAAGAAGAAAATGTTGTGAAAGCGATTGTGGCAGCAATAGTACAACACTGCTTGATAGGACTGAATCTTTGAATGGTATCATGTCTGGACTGTGTCTTAATAAAAATCGTTTGGGGAAAAAAAAGAAAGAGGCAAGGAGAGTGGAATCCAAAGAAGGGAGGGGTAAAGAACATTGGGCTGGTAAAGATAAAGGTCATTTAAATACATCCCTGCAGGTTAGCTCAGAGTGTGTGTGTGTGTGTGTGTGTGTGTGTGTGTGTGTGTGTGTGTCTGTGTTATTATACATTTTCATTGGCTTTTATCTGGTTGTGTTGTTGTTAGGTGCAATGAAGTTGATTCCCACCCATAGGGACACTATGCACAACAGAACAGAACCCTGTTGCCTGTGCCGTCCTTACAATTCTTCCTTTTTCTGAGCCCAAGTTTGCAGCCACAGTATGAATCATCTCTTTGAGGGCCTTCCGCTTTTTTTGCTGACCCTCAACTTGAATCTTGGACCTGAAATAATGGCAACAAACAATCCATATAGAATGTCTGTAATTCACTTTTGACGTAGTGGCTATGCGTGCATTGAACTACTAACTGCAAGGTCAGCCTTTGAAAGCCACCAGGGCTCAGCAGGAGAAAGACAGGGCTTTCCACTCCCAGGGGCAGTTCTACCCTGTCCTACAGGGTTGCTATGAGTTGCTATCAATTCGATGGCATTAAGTTTAGATTTTGTTTGTTTCACTCAGTGGTTGAATAAAGTGATTTTGTAGTTATCATTAGGAAAGATGAACAACCTGGGACAAAAATCACCAGAATGCTTTAGAAGATGAAGTTCTTTGAAGAACTCCAAGGTTCCAGGATAATAGTGAACACTGCTGCTTACGTACCTAAAGGCAGTGTCTAGGTGGGATATCTTAGGAGAATGATGAAGTTCCCTGTTGAGTAGAAAGCACTGCTGTTGTGAGGTGCCATCAAGTTGGTTCTGTTGCAGGGACCCTCTGTACAACAGAGGGAAACACTGTCTGGTCCTGGCCATCCTCGCCAGGGCTCCTATGCTGGAGCCCCTTGCTGCAGCCACTGTGTATAAAGGAGGACACAGAACACACTGATGGCACTTTAAGTAGAACAAGCCTAACGAACTATAAAATTCCTAGTTTATGCTGCTACTGCTTATAATAGCAATCTTTTACATAACCCATCCTACTTCATGTAAGATTTTCACAGTAGTAATCATTACAAAAGGAGCCCTGGTGGCATCTTAGCTATGCCTGGGGCTGCTAACCACAGGACAGCAGTTCAAAACCACCAGCAGCTCTGTGGGGGAAAGATGAGGCTGACAGCCTCAACAACCCACACAGGCAGTTCTACCCTGTCCCGTAAGGTCGCTGCGAGTCAGCATGGGCTCAATGGCGCTGGGAATCATTGCAACCAGCCCAGAAGACGAAGACATTTCAACTCAGAACAGTCACATCCTCGTATAGGTCAGTGTAATCCTAAAGAACAATCCCCCAACCTTGCAGCAGTCTTGGGGCATGTAAAGTAGATCGGGAGGGATTTCAGCTTTCCTGGAGCTCCTAGATGCTGCTTGGAGAAAACGTTAAGTCGGGCAAGATAATCCCTCCACCCCTGTCTAGATGCTTTGACTTCTACTCAGAAGCCAATTATTTGATTTCGATCTAAAGGAGTAAAGCAAAGCAAAACAAAACAAAACAAAAATATAAAAGAGGAGGTCATTTATTCCAGGGAAACTCATGACACCCAGGAGTCTGGTTGCTCACTCTAGGGCTGCGGTTTGAAAGCACCAGCCGCTGCACAGGAGGAAGCATGATGCCTCACTCCCATAAAGAGTTCGCGACTGCTAAACCGATAGGGACTGTTTGTCCCTGTCCGGTGGCGTCACTGTGAGTCAGAATTGACTGGATGGCAGTGCGTTTGGTTATTTGGGCTTTGTCAAGGTGTACGTGCTGTGGACTCTTCCTACTTATAACCCTGAGCACCCCCTGCTTCTTCCTTTCCCTCACAGTAGGGACTTCTGGCTGACTACAGACACATTCTTTATTTTCCCTAATCACTCTGGAAAGCAGAGTGGCCCTTTTTGTAGCCAGCTACCATGGGAAAACATCTCACATATTAACTGTGAAGGGCATCTAGAGGTATGCGGCAAGAGTATATATTTGGATAAGAGTTGCTGCCCCTGCTCCCTACACACACACACAAACTCAACTAAAGAACTAAAGATTTGTAGCATTTTTTTAGGCCACTTACCAACTGAATGGACTGCTTAGCCTCTGGCCATCAAAGGTGTAAGGCTTCTTTCTTAAGAGGCAATGTCCAACATTAGTTGTTTAGTTAATTACCTTTTTTGTATGAGTTACAGGCTGTTCAGAATATTATGAGAGTTATTGTAAGGGTCGACTTACGTTAAACAGACTATTTGTTTAACTCATGGGATAAGGCTTAATTCCCATTTCCCCTCTGACTTCTTATATCTCGCACATTTGACTGCATTTGATCTTTATAGTGACTCTGGGAATGAGATACACAAGCTGTTATTATTATTTTTAGTTAAGAAAACTTAGTCCCAAATACTGAGTGCTTTGTCTAAGAGAATGTTCCTGAATAATGGTGGACAAGTTTTATAATACGATTCTTCATCTTACTTCAAGAATCATGCAAGGCCTTCACGTTTTAAAAGTATGAAATGTATCTGTTCTGTAAGCATTTGTTCACATGACATTTGATTGATTTTTTTTTTTTAATCAAACACCTTTACTCCTTTTAGTCTCCACGGAGGAGAGTGGAAGAGGATAATTGGGTTTGAGGAGGGTGGTGGGATCCAGTAACTTTCAAAGCAAATGCCCTTCCCAGGTACCAATTCCTTGTCTGCTTTCTAAAGGGAAAAAGAGACTGGACCACAAGACCAGAGGCACAATGGCCAGGGAAAGGTGTCTTAAGACGGCGTCTCTTTCAAGTAAGAGGCTTTCTTTTTTTTGTTCAGTCCTGCCCTGACTGCAGAGACCATCCTCTCTGTGCTGATCTTTCTGCAGTTTCTACACTGCCTTTGTTCTTAATGGACACACATTGTTTTAAGTCTCTGGGCTTTTCTCTGCTCCTCTAATACAGATAAGACAATGAGCATGTTGGGATGTTACTTATAGCTGATTTCTCTTTGTTTTATCAGAACTTAGTCCTATATCTTCCATCTTCCAGAAATTAGTCCTTCACTGTTTGTGGAATGAATTGAAAGGCTCAAGGATGACTCTGCAGTCGTTGGTTTTTTTTGCCTGACTCATTTGTATGAATATATAATAAATGAGTGCCTTAACTACAAAGATCACTAACTCCTGTGAAAAAGTGGCCTATGGCTAAGAGTGCCCTATAAATGTCCAGTCTCCATTCCAGGTTAAAGAACTAAAGGAAACAGTACTGCCCAGGGGGTGGTGTGGGAGGCTACAGTCAGTCAGGGAAGTGAGTGAATGGTTATTACCTATAGATGAGTCTATACCCACAGCTGTCAAGTTCATTGAAACTCACAGTGACCCTACAGGAAACAGTAGAACCTCTGAATATGTTTCCCAACACTGTAACTGGTTAGGAGAGCAGACAGCCTCATCTTTTTCTCGCAGGGAGACTGGTAGGGTTGACTAGTTGCCTTTGCAGTCAGCAGTCCCAAACGTAAACCACTAGACGATCAGCACTCCTTCCGATGGAACAACAGGGAACTTAATTATTTTCCATCTAAAGACTAAAAGGATCTCTGGTGAGCACCCTACTACCTAGCCTCAGTAGCACAAGTGGCAAATTTCAACAAAAACATCTCTTTAATAATTTAGATGCACTGAAGCTGATATGTGTGGTTCAACTTTTTAACCTGACTTCAGGACACTGTTTCTGATCATTCCCCCAGGGGAACTTTGAGAAAGTGCTGTCCTCCTGTAACGGTCTGCTGACATTTTGAATAAGCGATCCCTTCCACCTTCACAACACATCTTTCTCACGAGTACTTAATAAGCTTAACCTGTGGACAAGAACACGTCACGGCAGCTTTTCTTTCATTCTTTCCTTTGAAAATCAACTAGGGTAGATTTGTGAAAATTCTGCGTCAATAAGAAGAAGAAATATGTTCAAGCAAGCTCTTAATGCTGCTTTCTGAGTGTGGGGTGCTTGGTAAACTATACAATTTTTCTGGGAATCTGTATTCTCACTTGTAGCCTGGCTAAGACTTGTTCAATAGACCTCTCAGGGATATTGCAAAGCTCATTTGAAGTAAGGCACACTAAGAGTTTTAGTATTATTAAGCAAATGATAGGACACTACTATGCTGATGAAAGTAGGGTAAGTATAAAATAAAATATCCCTGTTCATGTTTATGAGGGAAAAATAAGTAAATATTGTCCCATAAAGATGTATAGCCTCAAAACCCTATAGAAGGCTGCTCTGAGTTGCAACGGACTTGATGGCAGTAAGTATGGTGTACGTAGGTACTCACCTAGACTTGGTGAGAAACACAGCCTTCTGAACTCTGACGTTTAGGCAAACATTACTGAAATATTTTAGTTGATGCAAAGGTTCAAATAGACTTTGAGACATTAAATCATTAGTATAAAGATATATATCTTTTAATTCCAGATCTACTAAATACCAGAATCATCAAATTCAAATAAATTAACAGGCCATTAGGTAGTGTCTGGGAAGTCCTTACCAAGATCATCCATGTCTTCATAGCAATGCTGAAGGAGTGCTATTAAGGTTCAGTAATATAGTAAAAAGAATGAGCAAGCATATAAACAAATACCATATAAAAGCAAAAAATATCCTCAATTGGAGACATTTTGTATTTGAAAACCTTATTAACTTAATTAGGAATAGAGTAACTATGGCAATACATTGACTAGATCTTAAAACACTGCAATCAACAACAAAAACGTGCTTTACAAAATTTCAGAAATGCATACATCTTAAATATATACAATTTTTCAACTAAAACTTTCCTCTTTTTTCCCTCCCTCCTTCTCCCATCTTTGTGACCCCTTGATACATTATAAATTATTGTTTTCATATCTTGCACCGACCACTGTCTCCCTTCACCCACGTTTCTGTTGTTCATCTCCCTGGGGGGTGGGAGGTGGGATTATGCGTCGATTATTGCAATTGGTTCCCCCTTCCCCCTCTCCTCCCCACACCTTCTCTGTTATATATTAATTATATAACATTCATAAACTTTACTATACAAAACCTCTTTGGCTTAGATGGAACATGCTAATTCCTCTGCTATTGTGCTTACTTTGATAGGTTGACTGTGGTGAGTTCCGGGACCCCAAGGTCTACTGCACACGAGAGTCTAACCCTCACTGTGGCTCTGATGGCCAGACGTACGGCAACAAATGTGCTTTTTGTAAGGCAGTGGCGTAAGTATTTCACTCACTGCCTGTATCTTGTCATCATAAACTCCCAACATTAAACAAAGATGATTTTTTTAGTGTTTTCTAGAAATTTCTATTAATATCCACCCATAGAGCTGAAGAAATAGCTTCAAATGAGTTGGAACAAATGTGCCACTCCAGATATTTTAAAATTACATTTGGACATTCATTGCCCTCATCATTCTCAAAACATTTCCTCTCCACTTAAGCCCCCGGCATTAGGTCCTCACTTTTCCCCTCCCTCCCCACTACCCCCTCCCTCATGAGCCCTTGATAATTTATAAATTATTATTTTGTCACATCTTGTCCTGTTTGACGTCTCCCTTCACCCACTTTTCTGTTGCCTGTCCCCCAGGGAGGAGGTCACACATAGATCCTTGTAATCCAATTTATTTTAAAGCGTTCCTGGAGCATGAATTTTATCTATCAGCACCATAAGGATTCCTTACTAAGGGAATTCAACTAATAATTATCACTGACAACATATTTTTAGTATACTATCAATAAAATTTGGATAGTCAGACAATTATGGATAATCATAAGTGGTTCTCAGACTATTCAACATCTTAAAGATAGCACATGTAAACATTCTACTAGGAGTCAATAGACCTTAGCAAATAGACTAAGCTACCTGATAGTACATGTCCACATATACACCACTGGTCAGCAAACGGTGTGGCTCTCCAGCCACCTGTGGCTCTTTCAATCCTTACAAGTAAAATTGGGAGAATAAAAAGTAAAGGGTATTATTCAGATAATGGTGATTTCATTTGTTTGTAAACATATATTTAGGCCTCTTGAATAATTTTTGAATTGTTGTGAGCTCTTCCATCTCAAGATGGAATTGGCTCTTCCATCTCAAACGTTTGCTCACCTCTGGTCTATACTAACAACCCAAATGCTCTGCCTCAACCTGATTCAGACTCATATAAACTCCATATACGGTTTCTGAGATTGTGGATCTTTACCAGCACAAAGAACCTCCTCTTCTCGCCATGAAGCAGCTGGTGGGTTTTAACCACTGATCTTGTGCTTAGTAGCCCAGCTTCTCGAAACTCAAACTCACTGCCATCACTGAGCTCAGACTTACAGCAAACCTGTAGGACAGATGGAACTGCGCTGTCTGGCATTCTGAGGCTGTAAGTCCTTCATGGGAGGCAAAAGTTTCATCTTTCTCTCATGGTTTTCAAGTGCTGACCTTATTCCCAACCCAATGCACAACCCACCATACTACCAGTGTTCTTTAGTCTAACATCTAACACATCATTATTTAATAATTGATATTGTTTTCTTAATGATCAATCAATCCATCAATCTTGTAGTCTATTATAAAAACAGGACAATTGTAATCCTTGATCAAAGCAAATGAAAATGCACTCCCTTCCTCAACTGCCATGTTTTTTTCTTACACTGCAGTTTCTTTCCTTAGTATTTTAATTTTCTTCAATTTTTATACAAAATTGTAAGCAGAGAGACTATATAAGTCCATAGCAAAAATCATAGGATCCAGAAAGTAGAATGAAAGTAAGAAATATTGACTCAATAAATAGTAAATTCATGTACATATATATACAATGTACATGACTAATTAATACCAAACTTTTCTCCAAAAGAGTTCATAGGGAAAAATGAGATTTGTATTAGTGGACACATTACATACATGGTCAGTGATAAAATGCCAAATGCCTGAATATTATCGGTTCAATTCTTTATGTCTTTTGTGAAGGATATAACCATGGCATTACAATTCTGTCACTATTTATCTTGTCTGGTTTACCTTTTTCATTTATATATAATTTGCACTAGGAAAATGAGCAGCTTGTAACAAAATGTCTTAGGCTTTATTTGTTCAAGATTTACACCCTCCATAAACTGGCAAGATGCCAACTTTGAAGTCATTTAATTAATTTCCAAAATGTAGGCACAATTACCTATAAAATCAAAGGATTCGATGGACCCTGTTGCTGCTGATCCTGTCTTTAAACTTTGCGGTTGATAGCTCTGACTTTTCTCTGCATGTGCATTTGTCTTTCTCTTTTATAGGAAAAGCAGTGGGAAGATCAGCCTAAAGCATCATGGGAAATGCTGAAATTACAGCCAGCATGTTGTGCTGGCTTGTCGGCGTGGCGTACCAGCTGTTTTCTCCTGCTCCTTCACGTGTATCCAACCAACTCCTTAAGCTTGTAAACATACACCTCTACTCTGCCATGGTTCGGGGAAGTTTGATGTATATCTATGCATTTGACTTGCTTGTCAATAAAGTAAATTCTTAAGAGGAATGGATTGTGTGTTTATTTTAATATCAAGAAAGATACAGACCCGACATGAAGTAATTGGCCTGATTTAAAACACAGATTAAGTGACCTGCTTTTCATATGTAACTCAGCCATCCAGACAGACACTCTCAGACAGACACTAGATCTTCAGGGGATTCCCTTCCTCCTTCTTATAGAGGTATCTGTATAGATAATAAAACATTTGAGAGGTATGATGCTTTTGGTTAGCTAGAAATATATGTTTTTAAGTCTTTGATTACATGATGTTGTTTCTTTCCAATTTCCAGAAAATTGTTTTATGCATGAAACTCATCCCCACAATACCATATTTCATTACCTCTATGCCATTGGGAGTTTGAATAACATATGCAAACATTTGCATTATTTGACCCTCCCTAAGCATCATATGGTTTTTATGTACCATCTAGTAGATTTCAACTCACAGTGGGCCGTGCACAACAGAAGGAAACACTGCCACGTCCGGGGGCATCCTCCTGAATGCTACAGTTGAGTCACTTGTTGCAGTCCCTGTGTTGATTCATCTCACTGAGAACCTTCTTTTGCAGCGAACCGTCACAGCCCAGGATGGCCTGTTATAGGGATTAGTCTCTCTTTATAACATGTCCAAGACGAAGTCTGAATATCCTCACGTCTATCACGCATTCTGGCTTTAATTTCTCCATACAGATTTATTTATTCTTCTGGTAGCAGATAGCATTTTCAATATTCCTAATCAGCACCATACTTCAAATGCATAATTCCCTCAGTTTTCCTTATTCATTGTCCAGCTTTAACATGCAGATGAGGTGAATGTTAACACCATGGCTTGATCAGATACACTTCACTCTGCAAAGTGACATTCTTGCTCTTCAACATTTTAAAGAGGTCTTGTGCTGTAGATTTTGCTCAGTGTGGTATGTCATTTGATTTCTCAGGTGCTGTTTCCATGAGTGTTAATTATGCATTTATGTAAAATGAAATTCTTGAAAGTTTCAATTTTCTCTTGATTTGTCATGCTATTGACTATTGGTCTAACTGTGAAATAGAGTTTGTTTTTCTGAATTACAACATTGAGTTGTAATTCATAACAAATCCTATAGTCTTTTGTCTCTGATCTTCATTAGTAAGTTTTAATCTTATCAAGTTTGTTCACTTTATTGATACATTCAAAGAATTTCTGGTTTTGTTGATTATTTTTATTATTTTTTGGTTTTCTACTTCATTAATTGTTTCCTTTTTCTGGTTGTCTTTTGTTTCATTACCTCTTCCTTTGCTATTTGGCCAAGTTAATGATTTAAGTGAATGATTTTGGATATATTTTCTTCTTTATGTAGGCCTTGCTTGCTGTCAATGTTCCTCTAAGAACTACTTTTGCAATGTAACAAGGGTTTTGATCTGACATATTTTCATTTTGGTTTGATTTTATGAAGTTTTAAAAATTTACTTTTGGTTTCTTTTACAATTCACTTGTTTTAAGTTACATATTATTTCATTTCCACATACTCATTTGATATTTCCTTAGGTTTTCTCTTGCTGGTTGCTAGCTACATACTCCGATGGTCAGAGAATATGCTGTGTATGATGAAGAAGAATATGTATTATTCTTCTGATACTGAGTAGAGTGTTTTATATGTGTTTATTAAATCCAATTGATTTGCATTGTGAGTTTAAAATATCCGCAGTGATCCACTATTTGCATGTTCTGTCTATAATTGAAAGTGGTGTGTGGAGTAGTCTAATTGCCTTTGATGTTATGCCGTATTTATTTCATGTATTCTGGTCCATTGCTATTAGGTACACAAAACAAACCCACTACAGTTTAAGTTGATATTAGCTCACATTAACACTATAGGTTAGAGTAGAACTGTCCTATATGATTTCCAGGGATTAAGTTGGAATTGGCTTGATGGAAGTGATTGAGAAATCTTTATTTAAGCCTGCTGAACCATCATTCTACTACAGAGTGGCTGGTGAGTTTGAACAACTGAACTTTTCATAATCAGTCAAGAAAGTTACCCACGGCATCCTTAGGGATTCGGTGGCTGTTGTTACTGTTCGATGTTGCTGAGTTCTTGCAACTCATACTGATCTGATGTAGACTAGGACAAAGCATTGCCAGATCCCGGGAGAGCCTCACAATCATTGCTATGTTTAAATGCCTAGTTGCAGAGTCTGGGACAGTCCACCTCATCAAGGGTCTTCCTCTTTTTTATTGCTCCTCTTCTTTACTAAACATGATGCACTTCTCCAGGGACTGGTCCCTCCTGATGAAATGAAGTCATGGGATCTTAGACTAAAATCTCCAGATCCTTCTTTTAAGGAGCATTCTGCCTGTACTTCAGGAAGATTTGTTTGTTCTCCTACCCATTTATGGTACTTTCAACTTTCTTTACCATCATCATAATTCAAATGCATTGATTCTTCTTTGGTCTTCCTTATTCAATGTCTAATTTTCACATGCATATGAGGATTTTGAAAACACCATGGCTTGAGTCAGTCACACCTTAACCCTTAATTGAGTCAGGCGTACTTGATTACTTAAAAGTAATGTTCTTATTTTTCAACACTCTAAAGAAGTCTTATGCAATAGATTTACTGAATGAAACACATCATTTAATTTCTTGACTGCTTTTTCAATGAGCAACAATTATGGATCTAAGTAAGATTAGATCCCTGAAAACCTCAATATTTGCTCTGCTTATTACGATATTACCTTCTGGTCCAGATATGAAGATTTTTACTTTCTTTACAATGAGTTGTAATCTGTATTAAAGACTGCAATCTTCTATCTTCATTAGCAAGTGCTTCAAGTTCTCCTTACTTTCAGCAAGCAAGCTTGTGTTCTTTCCAAAAAACAAAAACAAAAAACCTCCTTGACATAGAGTCAATGTTGACTCAAATCGACCCCCTGTGGTTTTCCTCTCACAACTGGTTATGAGAGAAGAAAGCCCTGTCTTTCTCCCACAGAACTAGTGGGGTTTTTGAACTGCCAACAATGCAAGCTGCCACCCAAATCATAACAACTACATCATCAGGGCTCCTTTACAGCTTATTAATAAGCCTCCCTTCAATCCTGATAAGACATTCTTCTTCATATAACCAGTTTCTCTAATAATTTACTCAGCATATAGATTAAGAATCTTGAGAGGACACTACCCTGACACACACCTTTCTTGATGTTAAAACCATACAATAATCCCTTGTTCTGACAACTGCTTCTTGGTCCATGTACGGTTCTGGCATGAGCACAATAAAGTTTTCTAGAACTCCCCTTCTTTCAAGGCTGTCAATAGTTTGTTATGATTCACACAGTCAAAAGGCTTTGCATAGTTGATAAAACACAAGTCAACATTTTTCTGATAATCTTTGCTTTCTGCAAAGATCCATATGACATCAGCAACATATCCCTTGTTCCACATCCCCTTCTTAATCCAGCCTGAATCTCTGGGCAACTCCTTGTCAATGTACTGCTGCAACAGTTGTTCAAGAATCTTCAGCCAAATTTTATTTGCATGTGATATTAGTTATATTGTTCTAGATTTTGTGTATTCTGTCAGGTCACTTTTCTTTGAAATGGGTATAAGATGTATCTCCTCTCATCAGTTGGTCAGGTAGCTGTCTTTCAACTCTCTTGGCATAGTCAAGTAAGTGCTTCCAGTGCTTCATCAGTTTGTTGAAATTTTTAGATTGCTATTCTGTTCATTCCTGGACTCTTGTTTTTCACTAATTCCTTCAGTGCTGCTTGAACTTCTTCCTTCAGTACCATTGTTTCTTGATCATCTGCTGCCTCTTTTTTTTATCAATTTATTGGGGCTCATACAATTCATCACAATACATAGATCAACTGTGTAAAGCACATCTATACATTTGTTGCCCTCATTATTCCCAAAATTCGCTTGCCTCTTGGGTTCCCAGAATCCGCTAATTTTCCTTTTTTTCCCCCTTCCCTTCCTCCTCCCCTCTCCCCCATGCACCCTTAATAATTTATAAATTATTACTGTATCTTATATTACACTGTCCGGCGTCTCCCTTCACCCACCCTTCTGCTGCCCGTCCCCCAGAGAGGAGGTTATATGTAGCTCCCTGTGATCCATTCCCCCTTACTACATCCCCTTTCCCTCCTAGTATTGCCACTGTCACCCCTGGTCCTGAGAGGTTCATCTGTCCTACATTCCCTGCGTTTCCAATTCCCATCTGTACCGCTGTGCATCAGCTGATCTAACCAGGTCTGCAAGGCAAAATTGGGGTCCTGGTAGTTGGGGGAAGGAAGCGTTTAAGAACTAGAGGAAGGTTGTGGGTTTCATCTGCTGCCTCTTGAAATGGTTGCAGATCAACCAGATTTTTTTGGTACAGTGACTCTGTCTTCTTTCCATCTTCTTTTGGTGCTTCCTGCATCACTCTATATTTTGATCATAGACTCCTTATGTACTGCAACTTGAGACTTGACTTTTTCTTCAGTTCTTTCAGCTTAAGATAAACCAAGTGCGTCCCTCATTTTTTATTTTCTAATCCCAGGTCTTTACATGTTTTATTATAGTATTTTACTCTGTCTCTTAGAGCTGACCTTTACATTTGTTGTTGTTACTGTTCATTTCCTTCACTTCCTCAGTTCTTCCATTTGATTTAGCTTCTGTGTAATCAAGAGCAAGTTTCAGTCTTTTCACACATCCGCTTTTACCATTTCTTTCTTTCCTGTCTTTTTAATAGCCATTTGCTGTCTTCATGTATAATGTTTTGATGTTATCCCACATCTGATCAAGCCGTGCGCCATTATGTTCAATTAGTCAATTCTGTTATTGATATATTGTCCAAA